CGGCAGTCCTCCATCCTGCAAGGATGAGGGGATGAGTCAGAGGAGATGGGGAAGAGAGACTTATCTTCTGGTCTAACTCCCACATTGGTTCATGGCAGAAATCCCTTGAGTCCTAGGGTACAACCTTATTTTTCCAAATGTCACCTTAAGGAGGAGAAACCCAGGGAGCCTCCTGCTTGGAAAACCCACCACATCAGTGGATTTCACCCCTTTTTAGTTTGTAGGCTTTTACAACATTTTTCCAGGGGGACTGTGGCCTCCTCCACAATAAGAAATCCTGTGGCGACAGCAGCCTTGCTTTGCGCAGGTGCTCCAGCACTAGGCGTAGGCTGGCCAGAGCAGGTTTGAGGAGATATGTGGAAGATTCACCTCTGAGGAAGAGGCGTGGGACATCTCTAGTAGGTCAATATTGCGGTGAATTTTTGCACACAGTGAGGAAAAGAGGCATACACTGAGAGTAGGTGATGATATGTTGGTAAAGTTGTTTATGGAAGCAGCTTCCCAGCAGCAAAGAAGATATCATGCAACCTAAAATTTGGTCATTTATGGATACTTCTGTGTGCTGGAAGACAGGTACTGGGCTGATAAAGGTTGTTCTTGTGAGAGTTCAGAGAGATTTGGAAGAGAAATAATAAACCCACCTTATTTCACGTGATATTGAAGATGTGATCATTTTTTAAATAATCACTCCACAACTTAATCATTTCTTTGAGAGATTTACAGATCCAATTTACATAAGCAATGCAAATGTGATGGTCTAAGAGTCTTTTTAATGAGGCAAATGTGCTCATTTATGTTCAAATCATAACAAAGAAAGGGAAAACAACAGAAACGGAACACCTTGTCTTTGCCCATGGAAAATTTTTCACAATAGAGTGTTGAACAAAGGCCTTCAAACTTCCTGGGAGAACCCTTGCCTTCCAGAGGCTTTCTGTTATTTCCTGCACTTTATTGAAGGAAAGAGCTTAAACTTAAAGAAAGGTGCAGACTGGGTCTCTTGTTATTAGAATCTCTTTGTTCACTGATGTCAATAATGAGAAAACAGCAGCAACAAAATAGCAAAAATCTTCATTCCTTTGTCTTAAGTTCAGACACTTTGGTAAAAATAAGTGATAAGTAAACACATGGCTTAAATAGTCTTCTTAAAAAATCAGTATTTTAAATGAGATGGATTTATTTCTGTGACACTTGTGACATTCTGAACACACCAGTCAAGTAATCATTGAGAATGGTCTTTATTTATTATCATGTGTGGGTCTGATAGCAGATATCCCTTTTTTTGATTGCTTTAAGGAATTGCATGTTGAAATGTTGAGGTGCAGGATTTTCATTCAGTAGCTGAGTATGTGGCCATTATCTGGCTGAGCGGCATAAAAATTCTGTGGTTCAGTTGTTCCTTCATAGAAGATTTATCTGACAAATAGTTTCCTAAAGTGACGTTCCATCATCAGTGCCACTCTCTCAGGTGGCATTTCACCAGGAAGTGTCACTATCAGAAGAAGGAATAAGACCCTGTCCTTCCACTGAAACATGAGCAAAACAGTGGATGAAAAGACCTGGAAGAAAATACTCTTCAGCACAACTGAGGACTGCTACAGAGGCATCAGCCAGTGCCTCGGTATAGTTAATACTGTATTAAGCACAGTGACAACTATATTCAGTGCTGTTTTTGACAGAATAAGCTGGACCTCTATCACATGGAAGTCTGAGGCCAACCCTAATATTCTGTATTTGGTATTTTTGGAATTCCTGTTTGTGTGCTATGGAGGAAAGTGCAGACAATTTTCCAGTAAGTTATTATTGCTCATCAGTTTTTATTCCTGATGAATGAGGATGCTTCAGACCATAAATCTTTCACTGGTCCAGGCTAACTCTTGCCTCTCCCGGGCTTCCAGCCAGCATATTTTTGTAGGGAGGAATTACACAACTTGATGAGAAAGAAGTAAATAGTCCTCTGTTAGCAGCTATTTGAAATAGCAGCTGTTTAAGGCCATTCAGCAATGGAGGATATTAGCAATATTACTGGGCAAACTGTAGGTGGTGTACCATATGCACATATTGCCACACGCTGTGTCGTATTTGTCTTATGTGAAACTTTCATTTACCGGCAAATGTGATAGTGATATTTATAGTGGTCACTGCTGAAGTACTTGAACAGATTCTGGTAATCTGTCACCATGCAGTATGGATACGGAGCATGGATAAGGCAATGAGTGTCTAGCCTTTCATATTTTGTACTCGCCAGGCCCACAACAGTGTCCCTTGTTCCTAGTACCACTAATATATAATGGACATGGTGCTAATATATAGAGAGTGGAGTATGTGCAGTTTGTCTGCACACAGCCACACGCAGGTCTGGGCTGTGATGGCATTGGAGGGCAAGCTGAGGGTCTGTGCACGACCGTGTGCTCTAATATCAACTGAAAGTGGCGTAAACATGTGTTTGCAGGTCTGGTCTGGACACTGAGCGTTGTTAGGGCTCCAGTGAAAGCGCTGCTGCAATTTATCCTTTCTGCACCCTCATACTTACTTATGTCAGAGAAACTAAAATAAGAGCCCTCCCTCCCTTGTTGCCACTTTGTCCCCAGGTCACACTAATGCGAGCTGTGGTATATAGTGGGCTCTCTTCCAGACAACTCTTAAGGACCATTAGATCTAGAAACTCCCTTATTTAGAAAGCTTGGATCTCTCATTTCCCAAGGGATTATAAGGGGTTTTTTTCTTAGTCTTGAGTAGATGCGTGATGAGATGTTAAAATGTCAACACCTTGATTTATAGAGAATATCTTAAGTTATTTTTAAGTTTTTTAAAAAATTGTTAGAACTAATTTTTCTGTCCCTCTAGGGCTTGTACATACTATTTAAGTTGTCTTTACCAGTGCAGGAATATAAAAAGAGAGCAATAACAAATTTTACAAGTGTTGAAAAGAGAAAGGAAAATAAGAGAGGATTTTTTTCTCTAAAATGTATTGCAGACAAAAAATGGTTATGATATTAAAGTTTTATTAGCTCTCTTTTGGGATGAACGGTATATATTTCCATTAGTAATTAATGCAGCCTTACCAAACAATATAATATGCTGAGAATGTATAAGGCATAAGAATATACAAACAAGTAGATCATCCCTTCTGATTTTCTAAGCTAACTTATTTTTTACATTAAAATTAGCAGTGGTTGGGGTCACACTAAATTGGTTCTTTGACATTCTAAACATGCAGAAATAGCCATTTTTATTTTTCGTTGTATGAAATGAATGCATTTTAAAAAAATAGCCATGCATTCTTGGCCTTAGTCTCCTGAATTATCCTTTGCTTTGGAGATGGTACGTATTTTCTTAAAACAATGGCATTTTCCATAAGCAAAGCATTTGCCCTAGCAGCTGCTTAAAAGAATAATGAGAAAAATATACAAATTTAATAATGACACGAACATTTTTTTGGCTACAAAAGGTAGCGTGAAGCCTATGCTTTCAGATCAGAAATTATTTTTGGCCTCTGGAAACCTGGACCATCTCCTCTTAGACCGATGTGCAGCTGCCAGGCTAACCTGGCTCTTCCAGGAGTGCTGCCTGCTCTCTGCCTGCTCATCACCAGAGCACCCTGGCTGCTCACCTGCCTGCATGGGAGCCAGCCAAGCCCGAACGCTTTCCTGACCTGTCTGAGCAGCCATCTGGAAGGGGGCAGATGCCATTATTCGAAAGTACTTTGGTAGATGGGTCCAGAGGCATTAAAAGCTCCCACCAGGAGCGTGGACCCTGCTGCAGAGTTAGTAAAGCACCTGTCCTTGAAGCAAACGCTTCTGTCTCCTGTCTCAGGCAGTGAGCATATGGTCCATATGACAAGTGGAGAGAAATGCAGTGCCTTGGGGTGGGAGGGTGCCATGGCCATTTTTCAGCTTCTCCCAAAGGGAGAGGAGCATCTTGAGTAACGCAGGCCCTCTCCTCTCTCCTCCTACCCCTGCACAAAGGAAAGCATCTGCCTGTCTCCTGGTAGTGTCTTATATTGGAAAGTATTTCATGAAGGGAGGAAAAAAATAATAGGGAAGACAAACAGTCAAAGCAAATGCAGTGTGTGGGAGGAGAGATTATCAGCCCAATATCTTAAACTGGATGCTGGGGAAAAAGCTGGTCCTTCCCACACAGCCCCAACTGCCGTCTTGGAGCATAAGGTGGAGCGGGAAATTCAGTCTCCAGTCCTGCTCTCTCCCTGCCTTTCCCGCGGTACCTGTGGGCATGTCTGCTAATGGTGGCGGCGGTGACGGTTGTTAACTGGACGCTGTTTTGACACTGCCAAATCCTTTCGCACAGGTCGACATCTGCTTGGTGGTGAACAGCAGTTGAAAGGCTCTGTGTAGCCCAGTAAAAAATTCTTTTGCTGTCCAGATTTCTGGAGTATTTTAAAAGCCCTGTTTAGAAGCTCGAGCACTTCTTTTGTTTTTTTTTGTTTGGACTTTTCTGCTTCACAGCCCACTTTTTGTTTCTTGTCTTATGGTAATGAATTAACTGTAAATAGGAGTGACAGCCCAAGGAAAAGGTAGACTGGGGTCATGCAGGGTGTGGCCTTTGTAGGAATGATGAGACTCCTTCATGAGAAGCTCTCGTGAAGCTGGCTTTAGAATATTTACCAGCTACCTGTCTCACAGGCAACAGCAGGATTTGGCCCTGTCTTTACAGCATGCAATCGGATGTAAATGCATTGATCTCAGTGGAGTTATTAACTGCTACTGGTGCAACAAAAACACTGTTTGGCCTAAATGTTATGGAGAGATGACAACCAACATACTGATCAAATCTGTTTCTCTGAGATCTCTCAGGCAGAGGAGGTAGCCAATCTGTCTGTGCTGCTTTGGGCCATCTGAGCTTCCCTGGAGAATTCAGATTTCCATTTAAGTTGCATTCAGTTTTTATTCATATTGGCTTAGAATATGTTTAACGTCTTTTTTTTGTCTTTTTTTTTCTGCAGTAATAGTAAAAATCTGTTTTTCTTCCCTAACTATGTGCAGGCTGGCATGGCTTTGACTTATGATCCAACAGCTGCTATACAGAATGGGTAAGGAATGCACGTTTTCTTATGCTTTTTTAAAAATTAGTTTGAATGCCATCTTCTGTTTTCTCTTTCTGTGGTGAAACTTACTCAGAAGCAAATTCACTCAGTCGTATTTTGTCTGAAGCATGTAATGCTGTATTGTCAAGTTCTTCTTTTAGTTTCCCTTTTGTTTTTATGCCCTCTTGTTTGTAATATCCATTTGAATGGGAAGTTGTTTTTCCTAATATTTTCCATCTCTATTTGGCAAATGCTGATGAATGTTTTTCTAAGCTCGCTCTGTTATGAAATGGAAACTAGTAAAGTTTCCCTTTACTGACGTTGCTTTTGTTAAAATAATCATTGAAGATTCCAGCATATTTTGGATAATAGAGCTGTTACTTCATGTGGGGTTCTCTCTACAGGCTGGCTGGCTTCCATAGCATTGTCTGACTAGAAATGCCTAATAGAGAGAAAGCCTTAAATTAGCGTGTAAGCAGATGGGATTTAGGGGTAAAATTCTGAGCAACACTCTTCTTCATTTCTCAACTATGGTTTGCCAACACAAAGAATTGTAACTTTTTTTTCAAATTTAGCAGAGAAGCTACATCATCGTATTATTTACCTGCATGATTATATTTCCAATTATTTCATGAGCTAGAAAAACAGAGCCTTGAAATCTAGCTGTCCTTTCAGAGAGGTTAACAACAGTTTGAAGAGAAGCAGGAGGTTCGGCCCTGAACTCTTTGACAGTCACTCTTTGATCAGAGAGATGTTTGATATGATTATCGAATTCCATGCATATTCTCATCTGCATTCTCCAGCCGAAGGAGAGAATGTATTGATATAGGCGAGAATTGGTTTATTTGTTAAATATTTGTTAGGGCACTGCTCCTTGAAGCATTTAGGAAAACACTAACATTCCCAGTAGTTTTTTAAAAAAAATCAATAATAGTTAGTATATTTTGCTTAATTGCCCTTTACAAGCAGTAGCTTTGTAGGACTCATGATATTCCCATGTTGTGGAGGAAGTGGCCAAACCAGAGCAACTTAGAAAAAAGAGGGTTTTTGCATAGTTGTGATTTCGGAATCCTCTGGTTCTGTTACCCTGTTCTGACCTCCCAAACGAGTCTTTCTCCTCTGTTGTCATACTTTTCAGTTGGTAACACATTATAGGCTATAAACAAAACCGTCACTAGTTCATAATCCACCAGTGTTTCATCCAGACAACTGGCTTTTATTTCAAAGGAATTGCTGCGTATCAGTTGTGTGAATGTTTTGGAAACTGTAATTTGAATGATCCTTTGAGATTAATATCATTTTACTTCAAGAATATATTTTTTTTTTTTTAATTATGAAAGTTATCTCAGAATCAGACATTATTTGTATCAGAGAGTACCCACGCTGCTCAGGTGTTCAGGCTGCTCAGATGGTTTGGTCACTCAATTGTTTGAACATGCTGTCACTGATCATTGGGAAAAGAAATAGTACTCAATGGAGAGTTTCAGCTCTGCAGTTTTTAAACTGTTCTTTTATTTGTAAAGCATGAAATAAACTACAACACTGGATATCTCTCTGAGAGTGACAATTAATTACCACTTTGACATATCTCTTCTTTCTAGAGTGTCAAAATATTTTCAATTTCATCGGGACAAAACCATCTCATTCAGAATGCTCTTATGGTGAGATCTTGATTGCATGCAGTATCATAAGAAGAAGCTCTTACTATGTGGAAAAATCAATTTGTCCACCAAAAGTTACACAACTACTGTTCCATCCTTTGGTTGCATCTTTAAAATGCTGTCACCTGAGGACCACCAGGACCCTTTGATTGCACAGTTTCTTTTCAGCTCCCCAGGCACTCACTTAATAGTCTCTACATATCCTGGAGTTATAAATTTTTACTCTTTTTTATAAGCCTCTTTGCTTGCAAGTACAATAGAAATCTAGCTCATGGGTTTTATTTTAGCTAAGTCCGGGAGCACCTCGATGCTTTGCTTGTAAAATGTGCAAATGCGATTTGTTGCTCGCTGACACAAGACATGGGTACCGCAGCAGGTATGTGGCCATTGTGAAAGACAGTTAAAGGCTCTTAAGCACTATGAAGTAAAACAGGTTAACCGAATCGTCGGTGAAGGGGCGTTAGGCATACACATTGCTCTTCCTCACAGTGCGGACAGTCTGGAAGTGAGCACAAAGCTGCTGCTTTCAGCCCCCTTGTGTTGATGGTGTGCCTGTACCCTCCCTGTGGGTAAAATGCTGCATTATACTTTGGCAGCAAGGTGGACCAAGCCGTTAAAGTTTGCATGGAGCAATGTTACCCAAAGGTCTGTAAAAAAAAGACTGATTCCTTGTAGCAGGCTTGTTCGGTGCAGCGGTCAGGTTAAGCGAGCGTTGACCCTGCACACAGCTCAGGACTTGTTGATGTGCTGTGATAAGCATGAGTCGCTCAGTCCTTTGGATGCTCAGTAGCGTGGAGCTTAGTGAACTGAGGCTGGAGATGGAAAACCCAAGCCAAGGTGAAGATTCAGGTGAGGTATGAATTATCAATAAAACTTAAAAAGAAAGATTGACTGCATATGCTGACATCTATTAGAGTCCTTTATAGGGTTGATAAATGCATTTTGATGCATGCAAGTTGCTAAGTCCACACAGAATTTTACGGAGGATGGAAGCCATCCAGACATACCTGTCTCCGCAGGTGTCATGGGGTGGTATTTAAAATTCAGAATTCCTTAAGAGGTGTGGATTGTATTAGGTTTTGGGTTGGGGCATAACCAAACCTCAGGGAAGAATTTGGACTCTTGTATATTGTCCAGATGAAAAGGTGGGTTCTCATTGCTCATGGTGTAGTACTATCACTTTTATTACTGTATAACTATGTATTTGCCTTGAAAATCTATAGCAGGAATAAAAGAAAAGAGAGTGAGAGAGAGGCTTTCACTAAAAATAGCTAAGATTTTTTCCCCACAAAGGAATAGATAATTTTCTTCTGAGTCTATTACGTTGTAAAGCTTGATTCTCCATTTCATTATATTGTTTTTATGCCCATGTAACTCTGTTTAAGCATCCAGTGGAGTTACATCAGCGTAAAACTGGTATAATGGAGTGGAGAATCCGGCCCGTAGTGTACCATAGCATTGCAGTATGAGTTACTGAAGATGCGGTAACCACACACTTCAGTAGATAAGCTCTTTTCCCCTGCCAGTCTCTCTGTGCCTTTTTTGTTATATAATCAGCCTTTTCTGAATTGCATTTACAAAGGTACTCAGGTTTTATTTTGGGGAGTAGTGTGCCTGTTGTAATATGCTATTGATTTTTCAATTTGTGGTATTAATATTGTTTTAGTGGTTTAATGCACTCATACAAAGAACAAAATAGAGCACTTGTACTTGCACTGTAAGGATGCTCATTTAAAATGTTCCTGAGGCTTGAGTCCTCCTGGCCATTTGACTAAGACTGCAAAGTACTGTATTAGTTTAATATCTGATATCTGGGGGACGATACCGCACATTTGCTGGCCAATGGGCTCAGTATTCAGATAGGTCTTTTTCATCTCAAACATCTGACTCTGTGGCTTATTGCAACAGAAAATTGCTGCCTTGATAATGCTTGGTAATACTCTTATATTATGTGAGCCCCAGGATACTATTTATGAATCTAACTTTTTCAGTACTGCCTGCAGGCATGAGGCATGAGCAAATGGTGTTTATTGCAGTGCAAATGGGGTCTTGCTCTTGTGCAGATTCTGTGTGGAAGCTTGCACGTTCCCCCATAGGATGGGAACCATATGGATTTTTTTTTTCTATTTTTTGGCAGGGAAATAGCGACCAGACGCTACAGATAATGCAGTCCCCAAATGCGGAGGGAGGGTTGATGTAGGAGGGGAGTATGTGCTTTGTCTGTTAAGCAACAGAAACTGTTCTTAAAGCATTGCCTGTGTGTGCCTGATGATGTACTGGGAACGTGGTTCTTTTTAACGTCTCTTAAAAACATTTTCTTTTGAGCCCTGTATAAACCCCGCTTTGTGAACATCCAGGAACATCTTTTTACCTCCTAGTGATGAGTTTTCCCTGTGCTTATGGAATCTGGGCATGCTGAAAAGGTCTATTTTTAATACAAGGGCAATGTCCATTTTGCCTCATCCCAGCCACCTGCCTTTCTACGCTTTTGCTTTTAGCATCACAATTGCAGATGAGGAGCAGGGACACTGACTCGCGCCTGCAAAAAACTGTATGGGCCAATGTAAGGATGTAAACTGCATTTGCAGAAAATGCAGCTGAGCCTTTTGGAGAGCTCTCCTTAGAGCCCACAGGTCAACTACCACAAAGCCTACAGCTCTCGAAGTGCCATACCAGATACTGTACATTTTAATGCCAGGAAACTTGGGGGCATAATTGAACAGTATATCTAAAATGAGTCAAAGCCAGTATAATTCATATCTCTTTCCAGTCCTCTTTCTGATATACATATTCTGATGACTGAGAATCCTGTATTGGCTTGGACTTACTTACAACATGCATCTTCCACCTCATTTCACCTCTCCCTGAGCCTAAAGAAAAAAAAAAAAGGAAAGCCTAAGATCGAACATGGCAAGGTCAGCAGCTGCAGATCTTGTTGGGATGCTGTAGGGTTTACACCTGAGCAGGCCACTCTTGCATTTGTGCTCCTCCTGTCTTATTTTAGGTTCCCAGCATGTCACTTATGCCATTTACATATTAGGACATTAGCCTATTTGTATGTAAAGGGAATCTGGGGAGATGTCTCCATGTCCCATGGGTGAGAGCAGCGTGAGCCCTCTTTGTGAGCAGGTCCTGACAGCGTGGTACATGGCTGTAGCACTGTGGCAGATTGAGCATCCCATGCCTCAGGAAGGCTCCACTTGAGCCTTTCCCTGGCAGGGACACCCTTGTCCTCACCATACCACTGTACCTCATGCATGGTAGAGAGGCCTTCAGAATATACTTGTTCAGTTCTTGCTCTGTTGAATTCCTTCAGGCAATATCGGAATCCTTTTTGTAGATCCCTTTGGGCACAGGGGATGCTGTGGCAGGAAGATAAACCTTTGTCTCTGGGTATAAGGGATTCCTGATTGCAAAATGTTTGATCTACACCCTGTCACAGTGACTCGGATTGTTAAATTTGATTTATTATTATTGAAATTGAAATATATGAACTAGATTTTCTCACGTTGTCATTTGCTGTGTCAGATTTCCATTGTTTCTCTTCTTTGATGCTTTGGTGCATGCATTTTCACAATATAGCTGGGTGTCCTGATAGTATGTTTTATTTGATGCTTATTTGAGAGCATTCCAAACTGTGACAGATAAATGGTATTGGCAGGGGTGTTGGAAGGGTTGTATTTTTCACATTACCAGAGTATATATTCTACAAGCTTATGTACTATTCAGATAACTGCATCTCTAAGCTGAAACTGAAATGGTTAGCTGTCTGTCAAGTTCTTGGCTTAGCACGCGTTTTCTGTAAATTTGGTAGCATTTGCTAGGATTTATTGGAGAGTTTATTCCAAAGAGTCAGCATTACTTCCAAATGGAAAGTTGTTTGTCCCCTGCACTCATCTTTGTCCGAGCAGTTCATACGCGGTATGAGTGCAGCATCAGTGCCAGGCTGATAGACAGAATGAGAACAGAATGAACAAAAATATGTTGTTTTCTCAAAAGACTTTTGTTTTTATACTGTCCTTCAGTTCGAGAGGTTTATATGTATTTCTATTATACATTTTACCTATAGAGAGAATTCTGTCAGTCTGCCATTGACTGTTTTCGTTTGCTACACGCAGCATTTCTTAGTTCATCCACTTAGCAACAGCATAGCCAAAGTGATTCCTGGTTACCCTTGATCTGAGAGAAGACCCCCATAACAGGACATAGATAACATGTGTCATGCCATAGATTAACCCTGCTAGTGCTGTAAAAATCCTTTCCCCTGCAATGTTGTATGACCTTAATGTTTGATACAAGCGGTGGGATACAAATGCCTGTAAGTTCTCATAATAGGATATATATAAAATGGGGCAAAGGCACAGTTTTAAAATAGTCTCTGTGCGAGCATTGTAAGGGCAGACAAATGTTCCTAAAATAGCAATATATTTCTATTAAACAAAAAATCCCTCAGACGCCACCTGCTGCTTTTGGCATTTTAAAATCTTATTTGGAATAGAGAGAACAAATGATTGCTTCTCTGTCTCCCTCTCCCCTCCTAACTTCGAATGTTTCCGCCCAACCTTCAAAGACAGCAGCCTGTTTTTCTGAGGCTATTGGTTGGATGAAGCTGGTGGTTATTTAAGCCTGCATCCAGAATGAATGCATCCAGTCTGAACTAGACTGATTAGTACTAAATCTGGGATGCCAGGGCAATCAGGAAATAGAGCACTTGTTTAAACACCAGTAATGATTTTTTTGTTGCATGGCTCTCGTGGAAAGCTACTGTTGATTGCCTCAGCGTAGGAGAAAAAACCCAAAAAGACAGGGAGTGTAATCCACTTCACTGTTACAGAGAGAGTATATGTGCAAAATCTTCTGTTACTCATAAGATTGGTGCACTCTACATGAGAAGGATTTGCATGGGGTTTAAATCGGACAAGACAACACTGGACAGGAGTGTTTCTCTCTCTCGGAGTCCAAAATATCAGCATTTTGACAGCTGTAAGACCACAAATGTTCTTTTTTTAAGCAATTTTATTTTTCTGGCTTACAGTTACAACTGAAAAAAGGGCAAATACAAAAATCTTTACGAGCACACATATATTAAGTACTTACACAATCCACCAGTAGCGATATTTTCCAAGTGATAATTTTATCAATAATTATTAACGCACAGGGAAGGAGAAGAAATATACCGTTTATTACTATCAAGCAAGAGATAGTGCAACTTTTGTTCATAGCATGCAACAGTGGAAATAAAAACAACTAAACCTGAGATTTTCAGTGCTGCCTGGGGCATTTAGACTCATAATTCGTGATACATTTCAGCAGAAGGTAGGTTTTTTGCTCTCTGCCTAGATGAATATGAAAATTTCAGCCAGAGTTTTTGTAGCTATCCCTTAATAAAATAATTCAGGCATCTATATGGAACGTGTTATTCTCATCACTGAAGCATTAAGATCTGAAAAGAAAATGGTATCGCATGTAAAAATGAAATCAGTAATATTGTCTTCAATATCACGTAAGAAATTTCCTTTCACTAGCTAGCACTCTGGAAAATCAGCTGCCTTTGCATTTCAGATAATTACTTCTTGTATTGTGAAGTTCTATATTTGTGCTAGTTGAAGTGAAAAAAATATGCTTTGTGTAAATATTCCTCCTCCTTTCCATTTTCAAGATCTGTTCAGTGGAGCCATCACATCTTCTTTATTGTGGTTTTGGAAATAGATGGACATAATTACCTGTGTAGACTCTTTTTGTCTTTGCCTGGGAGGCAGTGAATGAGTTAGTCAGAGCCTAGCAGTCGAAAGGTTCAAAAATTCTTGCTTTTGTTCTTTGTTTGCAGATTTTATTCCTCACCGTACAGTATTCCAACAAACCGCATGATTCCACAGACATCAATCACGCCATTCATTGCTGCTTCCCCTGTCTCTACATATCAGGTACGTCAGATTTGCGCTTGTCTACTGTGTTTCCCAGTTAATTATGTTTTGGATGTGGATGAAGGCAGAGAGTATACCACAGAAAATTGTGTGAGTGCTTGCGCTCTTGAGTCACACTTGAAACAAAAGGCTTTCTAGTAGTATTCAGGTATCATTTGGTGTAGGGTTTGAAGTGTTTCCTGTATTCTTTACACTAGCAATGAAAGCCACTGTAATTTTTTCTTATTTCGATCAGCTTCTCTAGTAAACAGCATTTTGCTTCATTTCCAGTTGACAACAGCAGAAGCTTATCATTCTTATTGAAATGTTTTGTCATTTTGGCTCCCCTTCATTAGCCAAAAGTATTTTTAAATGTGTTGTTTTATAGTTTATGTTGACTGCATCGTATCTTGACCTTTTGACCTCAGCTGTATTTGCTCCAGTAACAGCATCCTTTAAAAGTGCTCATTTTTATCCAATAATCCCTGACAAAGCAAGATACTTGAGGATAACTGTCCTCATATCCTTCTTTAGTCTACCCATTTTTTGTCGTTCAGAATTTCTCTTTTCAGCATATCCCTCACAGATCTCCACTGGGAAATTATTGCCATGCTCTGGCTTTCTGAGAGGGAAGTCAAAACCAGGTTGTAAAGTTTTATTATTAGCCATTCTCTGGAAACATATCATTTCACTCTGAAGCTGGTCATTGGCTATACATTTTCCCATTTCAGTTATTTCTGTCCTATAGCATCAGTGTTCTTCCAATCCTGAGTCCTACCTGAGATAAGCTACCCAGACCTGCAGAGCTGCATGGTGGGTTGTTCTTAATGTTAGGGTTGCTTTGTTGGGGTTTTTTGGGGTGTTGTTTTTTTTTTTTTGAGATGGTATGCTACTGCTTACAGGTAATTCTGGGAGGCTGTGCTTTTACTTACTGTGTTTTAAACTTGATCTTCAAAGATAAATGGTTCTTGTAATTTTCTTTGACTTTTGTGTTGTTTAATTTTAGATAGCTATGTAACACTTGCCAAACAAAAGTTGTTTTGGTGAGGTACATTCAGTAAATTTCAGTAAATGGCAACACCAAAGAAATGTCAGTGCCAGAGACATACAAGTGCAGCTCACATGCACTTTTCTCAGTAGCAAAGCTGGCTTAAGAGTCATACCTCCTCCCTCTTATTCAGGCCACTGAATTCAGGCCACCCAGCCACTTATTCCCGTCACTGCTCCACAGTTCACAGTTGCTCCCTTCTCCCATCCTGACTTGAACCATTGCATCGATTCATGGTTTGATGCATTTGCATGGTTTGATGCATTTACACCAAAACCATTGATTTTTATTTTTTTTTAACCCATATCATTCTCCGTGGATAGTTTGTGGTGTAAGCCCAAAGGCATTTACCCTGACATAGAGGAGGAATTGCAAGGGTGCAAGAGTGGGAGCAATGAACAGCAGCAAGCTGTGGCAGCTCTAATATATTCTAATTAGTGGGGATTCACAACAGAAAATTTTGTAGTAGAGGTGTCTTTGCATGTGTGTGTGCTGGTTTTGGATCTAAAGATGTTTCACTGAACTTGCTTTTCAACAAAAAATCTACTTTGGTAAACTTCAACAAGTGTTGAGGCACACAATTATACAATTAATTCTCACCACTTGCTTCATGAACAAAATCACAGGGCATCTGGAGAATTGGGACCTTGTAGTTTTCTCCTGGTCATCCCTGCTCATGCTTAGTCTGAGATGCCACATGCCCATCTCTGTGAGCTCGGGGATAGCTAGTGAGTTGCCAAGCTGTATTTTTATGTACTTCCTGTGTGTTGTGGTGCCCAGACCGATGCAAAAGGAAACTGGGATACACAGTGCTTGGGGTTGAGTCTGAGTTATGATAGCATGTGGGCCATTCACACTTAGCACAAGAGGGAGTTACGGCTCAGAGATGCCACCACAAATGCGCAAGAACGCTGTAATGCATCTAATTGTTAGTAAAATTGGTATATCCATGGTATCTGTTACATGTCAGTCATAAGGCAGAACAACAAAGAAGGACTTCAGAAAGCATTTAGAGTTCTGGTGGAACGGACCCCACGATGCTCAAGGTAAGAGCTGATCCTGGGGGGCAGGGACATCTTAAGCCAGCTTTGCCATGGAAGCTTTCAATTAGAATAAGCTTCAAAAACTCTGAATTAGATCTGCAAGTCTTACTGAAAGTGGAATAAATCATTCTGGGATCTCTGAAAATGTTATACCTTGGAAAGTTCATACAGGTACTTTTGAAAATAAACTTCCAACATCTTATGTTAGTGGCCAGTGGAAGCAAGGTCAGGCGACATGGGACGACTACAGAGGTGCTGTTCACCACTGTAGGGACAAAATTCGCATGACCAAAGCTCAATTAGAGCTGAAGCTGGCCAGTAATGTGAGGGACAATAAAAAGGGCTTTTTAAAATATGTTAATAGCAAAAGGCAGGCCAGAAATAACACTGGCCCGTTAACTTGATGAGCATGGTCACCTCACAAACAGGGACATAGACAAAGCAGAAACATTTAATGCTTTCTTCGCCTCGGTCTTCAACACCGATGATGGGCACTGGGACCCCCAGAGGTCTGGAAAGCCATGACTGTGAGAATGACAAACTCACAACCAACCCTGAACTTGTGCAGGACTTGCTGCTTCAGCTGGATCCCTATAAGTCAATGGGGCCCAATGGGATTCATCCAAGGGCACTTAAAGAGCTGGTTGATGTCATAGCGAGACTTCTTGCAATGATTTTTCATTGGGGAGGTCCCAGTTGACTGGAAGCTGGCAAACATTGTCCCAATCTTCAAGAAGGGCAACAGGGATGACCCTAGTAACTACAGGCCTGTCAGTCTCACCTCTGTGCCTGGCAAAATTGTTGAGAATATTATTCTGGGAGTTGCTGAAAAACACCTGAAAGACAACGCAGTCACTGGTCCCAGACAGCATGGGTTCACGAGGGGAAAGTCCTGCTTGACAAACTTGATTTCTTTCTATGACAAGGTTACCTGCCTAGTTGACCAAGGGAAGCTAGTCAATGTAACCTTTTTGGATTTCAGTAAAGCTTGTGATACTGTCTCTCACAGTATCCTCCTGGACAAAATGTCCAGCACACAGCTGGATAAACACATAATGCAATGGGTGAGCAATTGGCTGACGGGTCGGGCTCAAAGGGTTATAGTAAATGGGGTTACATCGGGCTGGCAACCAGTCACTCGCGGGGTTCTGCAGGGACCCATCTTAGGACCAGTGCTCTTCAATATCTTCATAAATGACTTGGATGCAGGACTTGGAGGATTACTATCTAAGTTTGCTGATGACACCAGATTGGGAGGAGCTGTTGACACTCTCAAGGGCAGAGAGGCCCTGCAGAGAGATCTCTACAAATTAGAGAGCTGTGCAATCACTAACCGTATGAAGTTTAACAAGGGCAAGTGCTGGATTTTGCACCTGGGACATGGCAACCCTGGATGTGCATACAGACTGGGGAACGAGAGGCTGGGGAGCAGCCCCGCGGGGAGGCTCATCTTGAGTACTGTGTGCAGTTTTGGGTGCCACACTACAAAAAGGATATGAAGCTACTAGAGAGTACCCAGAGGAGAGCCACAAAGATGGTGAAGGGTTTAGAGGAGAAGCTGTATGAGGAGCGGCTGAAGTCACTTGGTCTGTTCAGCCTGGAGAAGAGGAGAGTGAGGGGAGACCTCATCGCGGTCTACAGCTTCCTCACAAGTGGAAGAGGAGGGGCAGGCGCTGATCTCTTCTCCCTGGTGACCAATGATAGGACCCAAGGGAACGGCAGGAGGGGACGCCAGGGGAGGGTTAGGGTGGGCATTAGGAAAAGGCTCTTCACCCAGAGGGTGGTGGAGCACTGGAACAGGCTCCCCGGGGAGGCAGTCACGGTGCCAAGCCTGACAACATTCAAGAAACATTTGGACGATGCCCTCAGACATATGGTGTGAATTTTGGGGTTGTCCTATGCAGGGAGAGGAGTTGGACTTGATGATCCTTGTGGGTCCCTTCCAACTCAGGACATTCTATGATTCTATGATTCTATGTCTCCTGCACTGTCGCTTGGATGACATGTTTATGATTATATTGATGGATGAAAGCAGACAATACAAATGAAAAAATAGGACAACATGGAATATTGAAGACTCCTTTATGAGATAAAACAGTGTGGATCAGAGAAGTGGTGCAATCACTCAGACTTCTGACTTTGGTAGAAAACATTATCAAATGAAACCTGAAAGTTTTTTTCTTTGTCAATAACTTTATGAAGCACAAATGAATTTTGCGTTGAGTTACGTGACTTAAGTCTTTTGCCAAAATTAGCTCTGTAGCTGTAACAGAAAGAATATTTTCAAGTGAATCTTTGAGTTCTGTTTTAAACTTTTCTGTGCTAATTAAAAGTATTTGATATGCAGGTCCAGAGTACTTCATGGATGCCTCATCCGCCATATGTTATGCAACCAACAGTAAGTGGATACTTGCTTATATCCAGCTAAAAGTGCTTACACTGTAGCCTCGCTCTGCTTGCCAGCCACATTCAGGTCCTAGGTCATGTAAAAGCAGCCAGCTGCTCCCTTTGACAAGAGCCCTCTGCTAAAAAGATTCTGCTTCTTTAAGGAGCACCATTTGATTTAGTGAAAAAGGGAGGATGGGTGATATGTTATCTAATTGCATTGATTATAAGAGAATAACAAGCTCAGAAGTGTTGCTTATGAAGCTTTGCTTCAGGGACTGCAAGATAACTTCATTCCTGCATACTTTGAATTGCCAGGATCAACACGTTACCCCTCCCTTATATGCTTATCCATCAAAAAAGTCCTTTGTAGTTGTATATACTTTAAAGGATCCTCAATATCTCAGTAATGCATTTCAAGTACTGGAAAAGGGTAAAGTGCAGCTGTCTTACAGAGTCATTGCCAAATCTGAATCTGCTTTATAATTTGACCAGTCAACTCTTTTTTTTTTTCCCCAGTAAATTGTCACCTTTCATCAATTTATAACTACCACTTAAAGCCGCATTACATTTCTACCAACATTCATTAGAAGCAGCACAGATGATTTTTTGTTTACCTCACAGAAGAGTTTTGATGCACTTTGCCTAAATATTAGCAGTATACCAGAAGGAAACAACATGCTGAATCCCACTATGTACAGATTGCTTTAGTTTCATTTCCTATCTTTGATGAGTTTCTCAGGTATGGATCCACTTAACGGTGTCATTAATCAAAATTCAAATGTGTACTTCACATAAGCATCAATACATTGATTTATATGAGGAGGGTAAAATTAAAATGAAGGTGTATAGTTTAGGATTGTTTGTTATTCACATTTGTGTTCAAATATTTTGACTTCATTATAGAGTAACCGCTGGTGAGAGTTAGCTATACAACAACATGGATATAATTAGACTACATACCCATTTAGTAGCACAAGACTCTCACTCCAATTTGAAACCCCCTTCCACATCCCTCAACTCTTTAGAGACAAGTTCTACCAACTCTTTAGAGACAAGTTCTTCAGTTTTTTCTCACCAGGCAATGACCGTAGTGTGGGTGGAAGCCCAGTTCCCACCACTGCGGTGCTGTGCCTCTGTCCAGACCCTGGTAGAAGTTCCCATCTCAATGGAGTAAAGCTGCTGCTGCGATCCTTGTAGGGAGACAAGCTGTATCGAACAAACTCACAGTTAAAATCCGTCCTGTATTCTAACATTTGGATTTAATTGCAGACCACAAGAAATCTTAGATGTGTGTATATGATGAGTTATCAGACTCGTGGAAGCCAAAGGATCTCTGATCCTTGCAGAAAGACTCCTTTTCTAAAAGGAGAACCTAAGCACTTTACCAATGCCAGTTTTTGTGTATACGTATGTTTGAGGTTTATTTGACAATGTTTAGCAAAGCATTTTTCTGCAATGCTGGAAGCGGTGAGTATTTTGGTGTGGTAATTGGATGTATTTACCCCTTGGTAAGGGTCTGTGAAGAGAAAAATAACTGTTATAGTGAGTGGCAGCCTCAATATGCTGAGTTAAATTTGTGTTAGTTGCCAGCCAGAGTTGTGTCAATGAAAGGATGTCTGCCTGTATGAGGAAAAGCAGAGGGACAGTGGATAAGTGGTGCAACGTTTCAGTTCCAGTGTCGTTGCCATTGCAGGTTACCTCCATGTGCTGTCTGTAGCAATTCCAGTCTCTTCACTGAAAGATTTTTCCCATGTGTTTCCCAAGATTATGTTCTTAAATAAATGGACATGAGGCATTTAGTACTGAAGACGCATAAAAGCGAAAAGGCAGAACTGCCATTCCCCGGGTTTCATTCAGAGATGAATTCTTTATTAGAAATGTCTGAAAAGTTGTCAGAGAATTACAACACAGAGGACTCATGAGGCATCGGAATTAATGGCCTGTTTTGAAAGAAAATAAAGAGTCTGTGCCCATTGTAAGTTTGCTGTAGTTTCATGGCTAACTATAGACTCTATTCTAGGCACCTCCATAGCTTAAAAAAAGTGAAGACAAGATTATGATAAAGTTGGCAGAATTTAAGACGTGAGTTTTGGTAACTCTGTGAACTGATGAAACTGGGAACTTTCTAATTTGGTTAGCTTTTTGTTTCTTCTTCTAACTTAGTTTGCCATGTTATTATGTAAATTGCCACCACTTTACCTCATAATATTTTATGAGATGATTGATTGCGGTGTGTGATGTCCCACTGGAAACCAGTGCAGATAAATATTGCATTCCCCTTGCCCTAGGAAAGAGAACATTTTGTTAAGCCTCTATTATTCTTTGTGAGTAGAGAAGAACTCTTACAGAAAGGACAGTTTGAATTGCTCAAATGCTGGTGGTTAATTCTTTGTTTTGATTATAAGTATCCACTAAATCATGTTACTGGATGATTAGCTTTTCATTTCCGACAGAAAATCCTACTTGATATTTATATATAATTTAACACCACGTAGTGTCCTTCATGACAAAAAAACAGGCAGGGCTGAGCTGTAGAGGAGACAAAGGAGGTTTTTCATTCAGCGTGCTGCGCACAGACAGGACAGCTTCCGCCCAGGCTAGCAAGCTTAACGACAGGAGGGAAGAGCTGTGCCGCACGCTGCTACCACCCTGCGTCTGCCTGCCTCTGCTCTGCCTGCCCATCTCGTCTCCTTTGCCACCTGCCTGCCCACTCAGTTAAATACCATGCTCTTTCTTCAGTGATAATCCCCTGCAGTAGGTTGGCCTGCTGGAGATGTTGCTCCTTTATTTCCCTTTATATATCGATTTCAGCCACATTTTCCTGAAGTGTGCATGTGTGCGTTCTGTATTCATTTACTTGGTGGATTAAAAAAAACCACTATAGTAAAAGATTGTATCTCCAATTTCTTCCGTAGCTCTTGAACTACAGCCGGATAGATCTCTGACACTAACAGATAGCAATAACATATATATTAACTGGAAAATATTTGCATATATTGCTTTCCATTCCCCAGCCTTGTTTGTTTTCTTACTTTTGTGATCTCCTTAAAAGCAGATAACAACCAAAATGACATTCTGTGAGAAAAAACAGTCAACAATTTTTTTTCCTAATGGGAGAAAGTCAGATGGGCAGTGAAGGACTCTGCAGGTGTATCATAATTTACTCATGATTTTCCCTGTAACTTTTAACCTTCATATCGTAGGTTGATGCCAATGAGCAGCTGCAAATACAGTTTTAAAAGGGGTTTTATTTTTTTGTTATCAGTGATTTTTGCTAGCCTTATACTAAGAGCCGTGGAAAATTAATATCAAATAGGTTGAGGTAGCATTGGTATTTCAGAATAAATAGTATTAAAAATATTCTTCTGTTGGCATAGTAGGGTCACATGTGAAAACCTCCCACATCTTTGTGCTTGCACAACCTCCAGGGTTTTGGGAAACAGGATTCCCGAATCATGTGAACGTGATGAAAAATTTACCTTGAGGCTCATGTGTGACTCAGACACTTTTGAAAAATGTACCATTTCTAAATGGAGCCTTCACCACTTTTTGACCATATTGACTGCACTGTGTCCGAGTAAGAATGCCTCAGATTTGCCAGTTTTGTTGCTTTGCCACGTGCCCTGGTCCCTATCACTAGCTGTAGTGGGAGACAAGCTCCAGAAGAGTTATGGCCATGTGGGGTTGGACTCGTATAGGCATAACATTTAATGCACTGATGGCAGTCTGGGCTCCGTTTAGTTAACTATAGTTTTCAAAGTACAGTGCTCACTCATCCCTACTTGAAACAAGTCTTGTATTTCATTACTGCCTCAGGATAAGGGTAGATGGATAGCGATGACAGAATCAAAACATAAATGGGATAAGAGTTATTCTGGGGATTTATAACATTTGCCATATTAGTGTGTTTTTCCTGTAGTCCCCGAAGGCTGTCTGACGGTTCAGGAAAAACTGAAAAATATGTTGTTTAAAGTCAATTCACATATAGATAATCTTCATTTTTATTAACGATGACATTTGTGTAAAACTTTTTTGATTCAAATCTTTACTGCAAATAATACATGTACTCTTCCTCTCTAAAGGCAGATTTTTTTAGTGAACCAACAGAAATTCTCTGCCCTAATGCTGTATGTGCACACTGGTTTTACACTTGCCCTCTTTTATTTGCAAGTAAAACTGTGTGACCATAAGTAATCGCTGTGTGTGCACAGATAGATGTTCTTGTCAGTCTGGAACAGTTTCTGCATAATAGCTGCAGAAGAAATATGCCAGTGGCAGCATGAAGGGTGCAAGCAGAGCAGCATATGGAAAAACCTACTATTGATAATGATAAAGTGCATTTGGGAGAACTTCTCTTCTGGACATTTCTCAAGCCCTTACAGCACTTTTAGAAAGGTCAATGTCTTAACAAACACCCTTATTATTTTTTTCTGTCTTCCTTCCTCTGGCCCATGGCTGAATGTCATCTGTCTGTCTTTAAAAGCAACAACAAAAACATTTCTTATTTCCTAAGCAGTGTAAAACCCCTACTTTGGTGAGAAGCGAGGCTGAGTAAGGACTCCAGATTCTTGTCTTTTGATTGTTGCGCATGAATGTAGCATAAAAAGTACAAACTGTCCAACTGAAATATATCAGTTTTCATTTTCTCACTAGCAACTCTGTTGTTTTGGATAATACCCAAAATACCACAGCAGTTTCAGTGTTTTGATTCCTATGCTCTGGAACAAAGAAGTTCCTTGTGCTGTGTTCAGTGTCCCTCTCCCGAGACAGCTTTCTCTACCTCCTGGTTGTTGCTCTACCTTTTTAGCAAATAGAGCCGGGAGTCCATCTTGTATTTGCCTGTTTGAGTGTAAGGGAACAAAGTATGTCCTCTACAGACAGTTGAGTCCTGCCTCCAAGGTGAAATGTGAGAGTTTGGCTAGCTGGTATGAAAAGTAAACAGGAAATAATCCTTAGAAATTGGAATCTCCAGCTAGTCTTTTAACTTTTAGCTGTGTATTTTTAAGAGAC